ATGGTGTTTGTAAATAGGATCTCAAGTCCGCATCTTGTACAGCAATTAACCACTAAGAAGAATATATGCAGCGTGTTATTTGTTGAAACTGTACTTCCGATTTGATTTGAAACTGTTTCATTGCTGTTTATCAATAAAATTTTGGAAAAAAAAATTTAAAAAAAATAAAGTGTCTCTCTTAATTAAAAGGTAAACGTTCAGCCAAGCATGGCATTGCATACCTGTAATCCCAACATTTGGGAGGCTGAGGCAGGATTGCTCACTTCAAGCCCAGCCTGAGCTACATAAGTGAATTTAAAGCCAGCTTGTACTACGTAGTTGAAAACCTTTCTCAAAAAAACCCTAAAAGTTCTTCATAATATAAGGAAATAAAATCATGAGATTGCTAAACTCTATGGCAACTTACTATTAATCTCTTATAGTGCTTAATTTACAAACTAAGCTTTCTCACAAGTGTATGTATGTATAGGAAAAACTGGGAGCTGGACATGGTGTTGTATGCCCTCAACCCCAGCTAATTAAGAGGCTGAGGCAGGACGATCCTAAGTTCAAGGCCAGCCCAGGCAACATGAGACCTTCTCTCAAAATAAAAAGGGGTGACAATGTAGCTCAGTGTGAAGTCATGGGTTCAGTTCCCAAAAGTGACTCTCACATACACACACACACACACACACACACACACACATGCACACACACACCCCATATATAAGATTAAGGCATATATAGGATTAATATAGATCCTATATATATTCAGGCATCCACTGGGGGCTTTGAAATGTAACCCCCAGATAAGGGGACCATTGGAACTTGTGTCATGTACTCATTCTCTACATCTCTATCACTTTAATAAAATATTAGTAACAAAAGAATATGTACATTATCAAAACCCAAAATTAACTGTTTTGTTACATTCAATTGGTTATCTTTTTTAATGAAAATATTTAGACACAAAACTGAAGTATCCTTTCACTGCCATGCTTGGGCACATTTCCTTTCCTCTTATCTTCTTGTTAGTAGTAACCACTTTTAGCAACTCATTGTGTATCCATCCAATTTATTCTTGTAGTTTTATGTAAAAAGGGTTTTCTCAAGTCTTAGTACATGGGTTGGTTAGTATTTGATTTCATTGAAAATGTATAGAGGTATCATTTACAATGTATTCATCATTTCAGTTTTCTTCTTTCCACATGACTCTTTCCTCTTTTACAGTTCATACAAATAGATTTAATCTATATGTAACTGCTAAAAAAGAGTATTTTGTAGTGTGATTGTATCACATTTGATGCATCTATTTCACAAACACTTGTATCTAATTTTTAGTTACCATAATTCATACTGGAATGAACAGACTCTCTGTAGATGTTTTAGATTTGGGGGTATATCTATTTATCAATTGATCAAAATAGATGTACGATAGACCCAAAGGTAACTGCTAAGCCAGTGTTACATAGCCGTAATCCCAGTATTTGGGAGGCTGAAGCAGAATTATCAGTTGAAACCTCACCTGGGAAATGTAATGAGACTCTGTGTCAAAAAGTGGGTTTGGAGATGTAGCATACTGCATAGGAACTGGGATCAATTCCCAGTACCAAAACCAGAAAAAGGAACTGCTGGATATTCTGTAGTTTAGTTTAGAAATTTTCTCCTGCCCTAAGAACAAAAACATGTCCTTATTAAAAAAAAAAAAAAAAAATCCCCTATAAAATTCTTATATAATTTGATTATTGCATTCTAGCCTTCAATATATTTAGAATTTATAAGAAATAAATATTTTAATGTACAATTATGGCAGAGGTCTAGTATTTTGCTATATAAAAAATCAGTTACACAGACCTTTTTTTTTGGCGATCCATAATTTTGCTACTAATCTGAGATACCACCTCCACTGATAACAAACTTCCCTTAAATTCAGGCATTTCTAGATTTAAGTCTATCCTAATTTTACCCTTTTTCCAACTACAAAATGATTTTGATGAATACAGTTTTGCAAACCTCACATGTAACAGAACAAGTAATTTTGTCTAATCTGAAAATCCTTATATGTTATAGTCTTAATGCACCTCATAGGCCTTCCAGGACCATGCTAATTATGTCCATTACTAGATCCTACCTGTCCATTACTAGATCCCAAATTTCCTTAAAGTATAGCTTTAATAATGTTTATGCCCAAATATACTTGCTTCTTTTACAGAAAAAAATAAAAATAAAAATGTTTATGGTGAGAGTTTTAGGGGTATACAATTTCATCATATTGATACTTACTAAATAGCAACTTGATTGCTGCAGGAAAATTCCCCATTCATGTCTAATGTAAAACAAAACTTGAATATTATTATGTATAAATTCTGATAAACAGTTTTCAAAATCCAAGGCATTCATGAAATTTTAATGAGTATGAATTCTCTGGTGTCTAATGTAATGTGACTTCTGGCTGAAAGCTTTCCCACATTCACTACATTGATAAGGTTTTTCACCAGTATGAATTCTCATATGTAGACCAAGAGTTGAGAACTGAGAAAAGGCTTTTCCACATTCATTACAACCATAGGGTTTCTCCCCTGTATGGCTTCTCATGTGCACAGTAAGAGATGAGCTTTGACAGAAGGCTTTCCCACATATTTTGCATTCATAAGGTTTATCACCTGTATGGATTCTCACATGTACAATGAGTGATGTGATCCGTGAAAAGGCTTTTCCACATTTATTACATTCATATGGTTTCTCTCCTGTGTGAATATTGTGATGTTTAATAAGGTATTGCTTCTGCCTAAAGATCGTTCCACATTCATTACATTTATAGGGTTTCTCACCAATATGAATTTTCTCATGCTCACTGAGATTTGATTTACCACTGAAGGCCTTCCCACACTCCTTACATGTGTAGGGCTTCTCTCCCGTGTGACTTCTTTCATGTCTAATGAGGCCTGACTTCTGAATGAAAGCTTTTCCACACCCTTTACATTCATAAGGTTTCTCTCCTGTATGGATTCGTTGATGGCTAATGAGGTTTTCCTTCTGGCTAAAGGCCTTTTCACACTCATTACATTTAAAGGGTTTCTTTCCACTATGGATATTCTGATGTTTAAGGAGGTGTTGCTTCTGACTGAAAGCTCTTCCACACTGATTACATTCAAATGGTTTCTCTCCGGTATGAATTTTCTCATGCTCACTCAGGTATGACTTGCTGCTAAAAGCTTTCCCACATTCCTTACATGCATATGGTTTGTTTCCTGTATGATTTTTCTGATGCCTGATGAGGGTTGCCATTTGAATAGAAGTCTTCCCATATTCAGAAGGTTTTTCTCCACTATATTTCTGATGAGAAAGGAAATTTCCCTTCTGGCTAAAGGTTTTTCCACTTTTATTACACTCATATGACTTCTTCCCTGTATGACTTCGCAAATGTAGAGTAAATGATGAGACCTGAGAGAATACTTTACCACTTTCTGTACATTCGTGTGATTTCTCTCCAGTATGCATTTTCTTGTGCTCTATGAAGTTTTGCTTTAGGCTAAAAGTTCCTCTACACTCCTTGCATTCATAAAGTTGCTTTCCAATATGAATTTCATTATGCTGAGTAAGATCTGATTCAGGCTGAAGACATTCCAACACTTTTGTCATGCACAGGAACTTTCTCTGAGGTTCCCCTAGTATCTACTGAGATGTGTTAAGGATGACAACTTTCCAACATTCATTTACTGAAGTCATAAGGTTTCTTTGCAATAAATTTTCAGGTATGGTAATGAAGTTGAATTTATGATAGAAGAATTTTCTTGCATTGCTTATTCTGAGATGCAGTGATTATATAAAAGGATAAAAATATAGCATTCTCTTTACATAAATGTTTTTCTTACACAATTATATAAGTATAGATTGTGTTTCAAACTCTTAAACTAATTCCTAGACATAGAAGCATACTCGTAAAATCAGTGTATGTTGCTGCAATGTCAGTCAAATGCTCAGAGGAAAAATATCCCCATTTCTTAGGTTTTCTGAGTTTTTCCTCAGTCTATATTTTCAGAGAAAGATGAGACGTAACTCACAAGTCTTTAATGTTGTCTCCTGGTCTGCTCATGAACTAGCCAAGCTTTTTCTAAAAGAGAATATGAAAAAAAAATCATCATTAGAAAGAGTTAAGTGTAAAATTTTTGCCATGTGGTATGTAGTAAGCATCCAATAAATGTGTATATTATCATCATCAACATCACTAATAACTGTAAATTTTTCCACTCATTAATAACATTTCAGAAGTATGCTACTAAAATAGATTATTCAACCCTAGTCTCTCAGGCTAAATAAAAAGCACAAATACAAATAATTTCTGCAGGTGTGTATAACTAATTTGCTTTCCTTTTGGGTACTGGGGGTTTAACCTAGATGCTTGTAAATATGTACTAGACAAACACTCTATCATTTATGGTGACTACTAACTTAATAAAATTTGTAATGTTACTTGTATTAGGATGCATAAAGATGGGAAGTATGGGTACTGCTAGTGATAATTTTTTTTTAACATTTCTAAATTATATCTTTCGTAGTACTCTCGTAATGTCTAATACCTATAAATCAAAAAATAGGTGAAATAGCTGTGTATAATATACAAATGCACAATAGCAGACAGTTAAGTGAGCTGCAGGTGGTTGTCTATATGGAGTAAGAATTGAGGATGAGGAGAGACAGAGTAAGCATAACTGCAGTCTTCTTTTAGTATCCACAGGAGATTGATTCAAGTATCCCTGCAGATAATAAAACCTGTGGATGCTCAAGTGCCTTGTAAAGAATGGCGTATTTGCATACAACCTCTGCATATCCTCCCATATACTTTAAATCATCTCTAAATTACATATAATACCTAATACTCTGATAAATGCTATTTAAATAGTTGCTGTATTGTATTGTTTAGGGATTAACAAACAGAAAACAATATGTGCATGTTTACTGAAGATGCAGTTTTTTGAGAATATTTTCAAGATTAGGTGGGTTGAATCCACTGATCTGAAACTCAAACACACTGAGTACTGACTATAAGCCTGTTGGGCTTTTAAGAGTTCCTACTCATTATACCTACAGAGTAAGCCTTTAAGACTTGGTTTTTTCACTTGAACCCATCTATAACAACTGTGCAACTAGAGACAGTGCTCTTTTATTAGTTGTGATTGAGTACCAAAAATAAATCAAAGAAAAATAGTGAACTTTTTGTTTTTTTTCAGTGCCAGGGATCAAACTCAGGACCTTGCACTTGCCAGGCAGGTGCTTAAACCACTGAGTTATGTCAACTAAACTTTTATCTAAAGTAAAACTAATATCCCTCAAATACACACTTAAGGAAACAGAAAGGCAAACCACATGGCAGAATAAGCTGATAAATCAGGATAAATTGATAAAGGACTTATATCTCTATACACATACAATTCTTCAAACTCAATAATAAAAAGGGAGCTAATCTTTTTTTGTTTTGTTCTTTTTGAGTCACAGTCTTTATAGTGCAGGCTGGCCTTCAATTCACTATCCCAGGTTGGCCTCAAACTGATGGCAATCCTCCTGCCTCACCCTCCTGAGCACTAAAATTACAGGCTCCACCATGCACAGCTACTAATCTAGTTTTTAATATAGGAAAACAACTAACACAGATATTTCACAAAATAAGATATCTAAATGGCAACTGAACATATTAAAAAGCATATTCATTTTTTGGTGGCACATGTCTATAAATCCCAGCATTCTGAAAGCCTGAGGCAGATAAATGAAATTCAACAAAAAGGCCCTATGTTTAATTTTGTGTTCGAGGCACCCCAAAATAAAAAGTTCATCCTATCTAGTATTCACAAAAACAAGACCCTATAAAAATTAAAAGGAAAAGAAAAAGATGAGGCAAAGTACAAAATATAATTCATGACATGCAATAAAAGAACTAGCCTGGGGATATAGCTCAATGGTAGACTCCTTGCTTAGCACATAAGAGGCAACAATAAAAATGATACCAGCCATACTGCTTATGCCAATAAATGCGATTAGAGTAAACATACCTATGAAAAGAATTATGATAAACATAAGCTTATATGTCAAATTCTCAGGCTCCACCCCAGACCTCTTGAATCAGAAAAATTGAGGGTAGAGTCCCAACAATCTGTACTTAACATGATTTTGATGAATACTAAGTTTAGCAACTACTGACACACCTATACCCTGCACAAGAAATATATATATTTAAAAAATGCTTTAGAAATGCTGAAAATAGATGTATGATAGAATAAAAGGGATAAGCAAGAATATATAAATTGAAGAAAACAGAAACACTTAGCCTACTGGAAGACAACGGAGGTAAAATTCTTGAAGTCACAGGGCTAGGCAAGGGTTTTCTGAACAGAATCCCAGTTGCACAGGAAGTAGTACCAAGAATCAACAAATGGGATCATACCAAATTTAAAAGCTTATACACCACAAAACAACCAACAGAATGAAAAGAAAACCTACAGAATGGGAAAATATTTTTGCCAGTTATTCCTCATGTAGAGGACCAGAGAACCAATATCTAGAATATACAATGAACTAAAAAAATAAAAACATTAGATCCCCTCAAAAAATAAAAGTCCCAATCAAAAAATAGGCAAATGAAATAGTTACTGCTCAGAAATACAAACGCCCAAAAAATACACAAAGAAATGGTCAACATCAAAGACCATTAAAGAAAGCAAATTATGGGCCAGAGATATAGTTCAGTGGCACAAGTGCCTGTTGGGCAAGAAAAAGGTCCTGAGTTGAATTCCAGGTACCAAAAAAGGGAAAACCAAAAAAAAAAAAAAAAAAAAAAAAAAAAAAAAAAAAAAAAAAAAAAAAAAAAAAAAAAATAAACCAGAAAACAAAAAAAAAGTTCCTGAGTTCAATCCCCGGTACCAAAAAAAAAAACCAAAACACAAAAACCCAGAAAACCAAAAAAGGGGAAAAAAAGAAAAGCAAATTAAAACACTGAGAGTCTGTCTTACCCCAGAAAAAATGACCATCATGAAAGTAAGTGCTAGGGGGCAGGGGACTCAGTAGATTAAGTGCTTGCCTGGCAAGTGCAAGGGCCTGAGTTCAATCCCTGGTTCCGCCAAAAAACCCCACAAAAACCATCATTCTATTTGGGCTGGGGAAATGGCTCAGTAGAATAAGCGCTTCCCTGGCAAGCACAAGGGTCTGAGTTCAATCCCTGGTTCTGCAAAAAAAAAAAAAAGAAAGAAAAAAAGTATGTGCCCAACTTACAAATGAGTTCTGTTCCAGGAGAATGTCATGATTTACTCATCAGACCCACAAAGTGAATCTTAGACACCTTTAACACAATGTACAATGTATATTGCTCTGAACTTCCTAGCAGAGACATCACTACTGCTTTTGCATTATAATCTAGATATCCTGGGCTCTTATTGAGCACATTACTACTGTTACACTGTACCATACACACAGAAGCACAATGTGATAGTGTCCAGCAGACACGAGTGACTTCCATGATCTGTTAAGATCTATGAGTGTTCCTAATACGAAGTTCTTTCCTAACTGAAAGTTTGCAACTTGAATGTTCATAAGTCAAAGACTGACTGTAGTAACAAATGTTGGTGAGGCTGCTAGGTAACAGGATCCCATCTGCATTGTTCATGAGAATGCAAATTAGTACCACCACTATGGAAATCAGTATGGAGATTCTTTAAAAAACTAAAACTAGAAATTCTATAGGACCCAGCTATTCCCTTTCTATGTACATTCTCAAAAAATTTAGATATGATATTACAGTGATGCCCATGTTTATAGCAGTACAATTCATAATAGTTATTTCAAAGCAGTCTATATGTATATCAACATATGAATGGATAAAGAAAATATGGTGTATGTACAGAATTGAGTACTACTTTACTACAAAGAATAATAAACTTAAATCATTTGTAGGAAAATACATGCACCTCAAGACCATAATGTTAAGTGAAATCTGACATATTTAAGCTTAAATATCACATGGTTTCATGTATGAAAGACCCAAATTATAAACAAAGAGCAAAATAAAAAGATAGATAATAGGAAGTATGGAGATAGCTATTTTCCAAACAGGAAGGGGATCATGAGATGGAGTGAGGGAGGTGAAGGACAGAGGATGGAAACAAGATTAAAATGTGTACCAGTAACAACTTCACACACACAAGGAAGGTGAACATTCTGGGGAGCAAACATATACTAACAAAGAAAATATTTTTAAATAGGAGGTGCAGAAATCGTAAACTGTGATAGCTAGAAGACAAAAAGAAATAAGATTAATGGGGTAAGATTTAATGCAAAAGGCGGCCAGAGAAAGAGCTTAGCACTATAGCACCTGCCTGACAAGTACAAGGTCCTGAGTTCAATATCTTATGAAAAAAAAAAAAAAAAACTGAAGTATACGACAATGAAAAAAGGTAAAATCACTTAAGGGAAAAAACGTACATACTACTTTCTCAAAGATTATAGGTCATGAAGATTTACTTCAGGGGATAACTGTGTATACTACTAGAAGCAAGTAATGGGGAATGTTGGAAGAATAGGAAAGAGGCTACAAAAATTAAGGCTGCAAATGAGGTAGAGAGGCTGACATCCAAAAAGAAGGTTAAAAGGGCAACCAGTTTGGTAGGCTCTAAGAAAACAAAGCATAGACACAAAAAGACTATCTGGAGATGTCAGCTAAAGAATTCCTTGCAACTGCCACTTCAAAAGACATGAGCTAATAAAAAAAAAAGAATTTCAAAAATTTTTTTAGTTATTCCTAATTCTGAGAATAATGGCAATGAGTCTTTATCCTACTCATACCTGTCAGATCCTCACTTACCTGGAGAACACTTTCTTTACAATTCTTCTCAATCATCCACTGCTTTTCTTGTTTGAGTTGGTGACTTTAAACTTGCAAATTGAAGAATCACACAGGACTTGGATGTGATGGTTGAGGGTCACAGTAGCACCCCAGAATTAGGCCAAGTCCTTAGATCCCCCTCACAGGTTTTGAAGGGTATGGGAAGTACAGCTCCTGGAGATGCATAAGAAAGCTGGCCTGTGAAATGCGCAATGATGGACCTCGGGTGTATGCATACATGTAAGCAAATGGGCCCATTATGCCATCTTAAAACACCACATATTTCAGATAAACAGAATGTACCTCATTTTCAGAAGTTAGGTTACACCAAGAAACTATGAGATTTAACAAAAAAAACAAAAAAGAAACTATGAGACTGAGGTATCAAGAGTTCGCCAGAACTGCAATTTCAACAGTTGCCTATGAGCAGGTAACACTTGTGGCCTTGCTCCAGATTTCTTTCTTTTTCTTTCTTTCTTTCTTTCTTTCTTTCTTTCTTTCTTTCTTTCTTTCTTTCTTTCTTTTTTTTTTTTTTCTTTTTTTGGACAGCATCTCACTATGCAGTTCCTGCTGGCCTTGAGTTCACTTTGTAGCCCAGGTTTCGAGCTCCCAATGATCCTCCTGCCTCTACTCCCAAGTGCTAGGACTACAGGGGTGAGCTACCACACCCAACTGCCTTACTCCAGAATAAAGTCAAATATTTAAGTATCATTTCCCCCCACATTTCTCTTTTTTCTTTTTGGCGGAGTCGGGGATTGAACTCAGGCCCTTGCACTTGCCAGAGAAGCACTTACTCCACTGAGCCATCTCCGTGGCCCAAAATTTTTCTTATAATTGTGAGGTCATCAGCATTCTGACAATATTCAGAAACTACTGACAATATTCAGAGCTCTCGAAAAATTGATATATAATATCTTACCTAGTTTAGATTAGGAAAAATTAAACATAACAACTGTCCTAATAACAATAGGCAATATATTAACCATCGTTAATCTTCTATTACCTTGCTTTGAAATTCTCTACCATTGTTTTTATAATTTTTTCTCTTCAAAATAAAAAACAAGTGTCCCACAATTATATATGCCCTTGCTGATTTAGCAGACATTTCATATCCTGAAGAAACCTTAGTTTTCAGTTTTTAATAGGGATAAAACAGTCAAGCTTATTCAGAAGCTTTTCTCCTACATGTAGGAGCCTTAGAACCTACGTGGGCACTGCTAAGAATTGCTGGAACAGGGACTACACAAAGGGAAAATAGATGGAGATAGACTGAAAAAAAAAGCTATCAGTATGACATTCTCAGTATGATGAATTTGAAGTTTCTGTGTAACCTCCAGTTGGAGCTCTCCATCCAGTAGGCATTAGATGTATGAATTAGGAGCTTGGGAACACGCCTTCAATAAAAATTGACATCTGGGGCTGGGGAGATAGCTTGGCAGTCTAAGTGCCTGCCTGGCAAGTGCAAGCACCCAGGTTTGGTCCCCAGTACCGCGGTGGTGCACACCTGTAATCCCAGTACTGGGAAGGCTGATAACGGAGGATCACTACAAGTCCAAGCTGCATAATGAGACCCTGTACCAAATACATAAATAAAATATTTTTTAAAATAGACATTTGTTTAGGTATTTGTGTCATATGAAGCCAAAACTGTGGACTATTGTTGCAGATGGAGGACTTGAGGGGAAAAAAAGATGACCAAGGCCAGAAATTTAGGATGCTGTCATAGGAACAAGCACAAGCCTCCCTTCTTTTAACTTTTACCTTCCCCCCCCCCCCGCCCCCATATTCAGGACAGGATCTACAGGGTCTATAGGGCCTCACTGTGTAGATCAGACTCGTAGTGATCCACCTGTTTACAGCCTCCCAAGTGCTGGGATTACAGGCAGGCTCGCCAACATGCCCAGTGTCCATTACCCTCTCAGCACATGCTGGGGGTGTGGGGGGGGGGGCATGGCAGGCGCTTTAATCTGCTGAGCTATTTGGCCAGCCTTAATTTTTACCAATTCTGTAAGGTATTAAAACTATTATTTCTGTAAGAATTTCTGTATCCTAGTACTTCAGTTTTTCATCTTACTGAAAAATATGTTTATAAGTGTGACAAATACTTCAGAAGAGAATGTCTTTGTGGCTGGAACATTGTTTCACTACATTTACAAAGGACCTTGGATATGAAGAAAAATGGTCAAATTAGGATTTAGACTCTCCTGTCCTTTGACTAAGGAGTCTTAAATAGGTTTCTTGCCTCTGCACCCAAGACTGCTGTGTGTAGTAGTGCAACTATATCTTAAAGCAATTCCTTAATTCTGAGCGTCTTAAAGCAGCTGAAACTAAAGTTCCTCCGAAGTATTAAGTCTAAGCATCCGATCATAAGCTTTTAGGAGACATTTGTTCCTTGGGTGGGGAGGGGCAGGCGGTCTGATTATTGCCTTTTTATTAATTCCATAACCGGTCTGCTTCCTACGTAAAAACCAATTTTTAAATCACTTATCCGTTTAATTCCTTAGCCTTACACCGTTTGTATTTTCCAGGAATATCTTCTTTACATTAGAAATGAGAAAACTGAGGCTTAGAGGTTACTACCGCACCAATCTATCGCCTCACAAACTTGGAACCAGTTTCCCCCTCACTGCGATCCCAGACCCCGCCACCCGCCCAGGCACCCACCCGGTCCTCCGGTCCCCTGCCCCCACGCACACAACCTCCGCGCCCTGCAATCCCCGGTGGCGGTTCCAACCCTTGGGCCTCTCTAGCTCTTCGCAGGCCCCGAGAGACTCCCTGGTCAGGTTGAGGCCACAAAAGACCCGGTCCCACGGAGCCGAAATCTTAACTCACCAGCAGACAAAGAAGAGGACGATGGCGAGCGGAGAGCCCGCGCCTGCGCACTGCATGGGTGAGCGGCACTCCCAGAGGTCTCTGCCAGCTCGGGCTCGGAACCCCGCCGAGCCCACCTACGTCTGCCGGTCCTCCGCTTTTGTGCCTGTGACTACATTTCCCACAAGTGTCCGGGGTTCAAGCGAGCTTTTCCCGGAAACTTTCCTCTGCCAAGACCTTAGAGGACTGTCTCCGCCTTCGCAGGCACGGGTGTAAATAGAGCCAATCTCAGGACTCAGATGAAGCAGGGTACCTGGGTTTGCCCCCGGGAGAGGGCAGCCGGTGCCAAGGGCCTTGGCCAAACTGGGCACGTCTGTAATCCCTGCGCTGTGGGAGGCTGAGGCAGGAAGATCGCGACTTCGAACCTAGCTGAGGCAATTTAGCGACTAAGCAAGACAGTGTGTCAAAATAAAAATTTTTTAAAGGTTGGAGATGTAGTTCCGTGCAAAGGCCCTGGATTCAATCCCCAGTACCACGCATAATGATATTAAACTTAGTTCATTGTCGCTGGGCAGACTTCATGAAAGCTCTCGGAGACTCCCAAGTGCGATTCAGAAATGGGATGATCCAAGCGCCATCCGCTCCAGCGCCCTGTACGCGGAGCTACGATCCCGGGAGGAAGGAGCCACGTCCTCCGTCCCGGCGGAGAATGGCGCAGTCGACGCATCCGCTGGCTTGAACAGTCACCCCAAGCTGCTACAAACCGCGCGATCAAGGGCCTCTGGTCTGTAAGTCTGGAGTGTGTCTTTCCAACAAGGAACTGCCCTTTCCTCTAAAGCTTTTTTCTGTCTTGTACCCCACCTTCCCTGAGCACTTTTGTGTGTCACTACCGTGGCTGGAGGCGGGGAAGGGGCGCCCTGGGCTGCACATTTTGGGGGCAGTATTTAAATAGGCTAACATATTCAGATAGGTTTGGGCAATTTGAAGGACCTCCCCTACCTGCACCGAGACACGCTGAGCTGGCCACCGTGCGTAGCGAGACCCTGTACCAAATACATAATTTTTTTTAAAATTTTTTTAAAGAAGAAAGATCTCTAAGACACAGTAAAAGTCCACTTCTTTTGAAAGCTTTAATTTCAATTCTCCTTTGATGAAGGTATCACTTCCAGAGATCTGTGCTTCTCCTCCTCCACCTTCGCCTTCTCTTCCTCCTTCTTCTTTCTGTGTCCATTTATTTGTCTAGCCCTTTCCTCCTTTTCTAAGCCCACTTTCTCTTTTTCCCAGGATTGTTGTCTCTTTTCCTCAATTTTCTTTCTGGGCCCTCCTCTCCTCTTTCCAAGATTTTCTTGTCTTTTCTCAGGCCTGTTTATTTTCTTGTGACAACTTTTTCATTTCCCAAAATTTCATCCTCCGAAGGTCCAGTTTCTTTCTTTTCCAGCATAAATTGTTGTTTCCTCCACCCCCCAGACTCTGGCTATTTGTCTCCCTCTGTTCATCCTGTTTCCTAAACTTGTTGTTTTTTTTTTTTTTTTTTTTAATTTTCTTGGATCTTTCTTTTTGGGGGCTGTTTTACAAGGCATTTTTCTTTCCTTGGCCCAAAATTTATTCTCTTGCTTTGCTAAACTCTCCTTTTTTCTGATGCTTGTTTTCTGTCTTCCTCAGATTATCCTTCTCTTCTGTAAACAGATAATCCAGGGACAATGTGCCCAATTTGCAGACCTCATAATCTTTTCCCATTTCCACTTGTCCTTTCCAGGATTGGCTTCCTCTCTTTCCAGATCACTTTCTTTTTCCAAATGATTTCCTCTTTTTTCAAATTAGTCTCCAGGGCCAGTGAGTTAGCTCAGCGAACTAAGCGCCTGCTTTGACAGGTGCAGGGACCAGAGTTCAGTCCCTGGTCCTACAGGCCAAGCTGGCCCTGCCCTCAGAGCTTGATGAGTCTGTGACAGAGTCCTAGCATGGTAGCACATGCCTGTAATCCCAGCGCTGGGGAGGCTGAAAACAGGAGGATCGCCACAAGTTTGATCTGCATAGTGAGACCCTGTACCAAATGCACAAATGAAAAAAAAAAAAAAAAGATATTATCTAATCTCAAATTAGTCTCTTTTCTTCTTTGACTGTTTTCTGCTTTCATAGTTGATTTCCTTTGCTAGAGAACAAGTATTTCTCTTTTCCAGGGCATTCTTTCTTCTGGATAGACCCATTTCTTTTTATCCTTGCTCTCTCTCTCTCTCTCTCTCTCTCTCTCTCTCTCTCTCTCTCTCTGGGTACATTGACATTTCCTAGGGCTTTGTCAGTTTTCTTCTGGTTTGTCCAGTTTCTTTACTACCTTCATAAATTTTCCCCAAGACTGAGTGATCTGAGAAAGCAACTTACTTCTTGACTTGTAGAGAAAATTCTGTCGCTTTTTTAGCCTCTTCTTCTCTCAATACTACTGACCCTTCATCCTTGACAGCCCCTTTCCCACATTTTCTGTTTTGAATGGTGGTTCTCCATCATGTAACTGTGATGAAAATGGTTTTGAGTCCTTTAAGAGGCCACAGATCTCTTTGAAGAGATGCCAGCAGGGTCATCAGTGAGCAAGCACAACTTAGGCCAGGTCTACCAGTTCTTTACCCAGATCCCTTAATATTCCTGGATGAGACCTTACTATCCTTGAGGTGACAAGGTGGCAAATGTCCTCCCACCAAGACCTACTGTCTAGCCTAAGATACATGTCCAGGACTCCCAGCTAAACTGCTCTTTTTCTTCTTTGTATCTTTTTCTGGTTCAGAAACTATTATGACTCCCCACCCCCACCCCACCAGGAATCAAACTCAGGACCTTGTACTTGCCAGGCAGGCACTTATGCCACTGAGCTATATCCCTGACTCCTTGGGTTCTTGTGTAGTCACTTCTGAATTGCTCTTTGAAGTCCTTTTCTCTTCCTACTTCTTCACTACTTCCAACAGAATACAACCTTATTGATTAAAGCATCTTCTAGAATTTCTTAACCACATTAAATAAGGAGGCTCCAGTGTCCTAAAGTATCTATTCTGCATATTGAATGGATTTCTCTCCTAGTCACCTAATTATGATCATTGAGAAAACTGAGAGACAGCCCCTTAAATAATCTTCAGTGTTTTGTGGTTCAGACCCAGTAACAAGATTGGTAACAGCCAATAGGTTCTACTACACTGTCAATACCATGTTAAGCAAAACATACATGGCCTTGGATCTTAGGAATAGAGTCCCAGGCCAGAGAAATGGCTTAGAGTGCTTGCTAGAATATGTGAAGCCAAAATCAATCAATCAAAGAAAAAGGGAAGAATCCAGTGGGGTGGGGGAAAAGAGGCAGAACCAAGGACTGAACTCAGGCCCTTATGTTTGCTAGGGAAGCGCTTACTCCACTGAGCCATCTCCTCAGCCCCTCAGCCTGAACAACTTAATGACTTAATGAGACTCTGTTGTCTCAAAAAATAAAAAGGGCTTGGGATGTAGTTTAGTGTAGTTCAGTATACTGGACTCCATCCCCAGTATACCAGGAGTTGGGGGCAGTACCTGTAAAAGAAAGGAGTACAATGCCATATGAAAATGAAAAGGAACCCAGTCATGGGAAATAACTATGCCTGTCACAGTTGGAGCAACTTTTCAGAGTGCCTGCCTACAAGAAAGGATCAGTCTTGTCACAGTCACACATTCGTGATATACTGCTTATGAGAAACACATCACAGACACGTAATAGAATGCTCACCATATGTGAAAACAAGATCCCATGACTTGCACTTTCTTCATTATTCTTATGTGTGAAAAGGGAAATGGGTACCTTTTACAACATTAGCTTTACTACTTTGGGTCTAAAATGCTGTGTGCTTCCCCAGTGGAACCTGTGTGACATTTCAATGTATTTCACAGAACAATATAACAGGTGCTATCTTCCAGTGATACAGCATGTCTGTGACATACATCCATAAATTCATACTGATCAGCCTAAGCTGGGACTTACGAGGCTTACTTTTGAAGTCCACTATGTCAGCAGATCCTTCTGCTATATCTGCTTTCTAAATAATGCTGCATGAATCAAGCTCACCAACTTTCTGTGCATCAGAATTTTTGCCCTGACCACTAAGCTGGCAAGTAAAGCATTAAATGAAATGGAAGTATTAATCCTTATTTATAATGTCCATCATGTCTGCTTTCTAATCTACAGTAGATTTGGGATTATACACTGACACCAATATCTACAACTCAGAATGTCTATCCTCCTTGTATTTCTCATTGTCAGAGCTTGAGTTTCCTACTGTCCTTTCTAATTCAGTGGTTGCAGTAGAGTTAAAAGGACCTTGGTATCCATATCTCATTCAGAAAGTTCATCCACCTAACCTTATTATACTAGTTAATTACTATTCTTTTTCTCCTTCCCAGCTGTCCTGTATGAATAATCACTCATTGAACAATAATATGGTGATTCTATATAGAACATTAATAAAGGATTAAAAATATCATTCAACCCAACCAATGTTTTTGTGCTTGATATTATGATGTCTACTCTATTTTCTATTCTTTTCCATCACATTCCCTTCCTTCCATCCTAAGAAAACTCTGATTTAGTTTATGGTAGTCATAGACCTAGCAATTCTGGCCACACAAAGTACTACTATGGTTCCCCAAGGCTGGCACAGAACTGTGGATCTCCAACCATCCTCCCCCCTGCTTGGAATTTGAAGGTTACATATGGAAGTACAGCAACTATCTTACAACTGTGTGAACATATTAAGGATGGTGTGGAGGGCTGGTGAGAAGGCTCAGTGGTCTAAAGCACCTACTTGGAACAAGCTTAGCAAAGCACAGGGACCGTGGTTCAATGCCTCAGCACCACATGCCAGCCAGCCCGCCCCCTGGTAGGCTGAGCTGGCCGCACACACACACACACACACACACACACACACAAATAAATAAATTAAATTTTTTAAAAAAAGGATGGTGTGGAAAAAGAAGATAGGTCCTCAATGGCATGTAAGACAAGATGCATCCTACTTGTTTATGTAAATCAGTTTTTTAGGAAGAAGTATTCTAGTTGTGCCTAATGTTATCATCTTAATGTAGAAGAGATTGTTTGGGGGTGGGGCAGGACCTTGCCAAAACTGTTCATATCTTGGACCAGTGAGATAGCTCAGTGGACTAAGTGCTTACTTAGGCAAGCTCAGGGGCCAGGGTTCGATCTCTGGCACCACACGCCGGCCCTGTTCCCCCAGGTGCACTGAGCAAGTGATGGAATCTGGGCATGGTGGTGCACGCCTGTAATCCCAGCACTAGGGAGGCTGAAAACAGGAGCATCGCTACAAGTCCAAGCTGTGTAGTGAGACCCTGCACACACACACACACACACACACCAAAACAAACCGCTGCCGCTGCCACCACAACTCATGAACTTGTGATGGAGTCTGCACCAGGCTCATTGTCTGGCTTCTGGCTGCTCAGGGTGCAGGGTGCCGGCAGCTCCCAAGGAGCGCATCACGTGCCAGGGGGGCCAGGGGCCGAAGCAAGATAGAGGAATTTGTGTATTTATAAAGTAGTGGTGGATTTGGAGAATGAAATTTTCACAATCGATATTAAGCCCATGTCAAGGCTTATTGTTTTTCTTTCCTCTTTTAAAAGTTGTATTATAAATTGACAAATTATAATTGCTATATATATTTATCGAGTATGAAATGATTTAGGAATGCAATTTGGAATAATTCAATAAAGCTAATTAACATAATCAAAAAACAAAACAAAACAAAC